GATAGCAAAATATCACAGGAAACGTCAAATATATCTAATGTAGCATATCTGGAAAGGAACCCACAAAAAGTGACCTCTTTGTCACCTCATAGTGAAATAATGTGAAATAAGTGTGCAGAAAAGAATGAAATAAAATGAAGTCTTGCAGAGCATCGCCGCGAGCACCACAAGGCTTAAGTGAAAGTTTCTATGAGCACTATGTGCCATATAGTCTATGGTCTTACAGTCGAGAGCCAATAAAGATGCCTTTACTAAAGGTTTGGGTGTTTTCATACCTTTTGTGACTTTTCTGATTCGTAAATCTTGCTATATTCCAGCACCTATCTTCTAGGACAGTAGAGCTTCTTGGCTGTCCATGATGTGGATCGGATCACTTAATAAGATAGAAATGTCATTGATCTGTGTCAACCTTTCCTAGCAGATCGCAATGTTAGACATTTTGCAGAAGCTGCAAGGGAAAAGAGAGCCATCGCAAGCAGCAATTAAAGGTTATTTAGCAGTCTTAAAATATATGGGAGATTACCCGTGCCGGCGCATTTCAGCCATCACTGAACTTACCGATGAAGTTTTCAAAGGAGCGTTTAAATACGTTCGTTTATCCTTCCCTTCTTTTGAAACTAAAGGATTTTTTGAAGTTTTCCAACAGTCAGCAGTTCAGTGCTGACTTATAACTTTTCAGGAAATCATTCGAGACGAGTTGTATTGTCAGTTGATGAAACAGTTAACGTGGAATTACAATCCGGTGAGCATAGAACACGGATGGGAGCTAATGTGGTTATGCACCGGAATATTTCCTCCCAGTCAGTCACTCCGCAATGAAGTGGAATTATTTTTCCGCACTAGACAACATCCTTTGGCATTGCACTGTCTCATTAGACTTCGACGAATCCATCGGTACGATTCGGCAACTTCAACCAATATCTATTTTAAGATAAGAAAGGATGATGAAATAGTTTCTCTTCTTTTCTCAATTTCCTTTCACTCATTTCCAAGAATTTAGGACTGGACGTCGAAAATTTCCGCCTCATGATGTGGAAGTGGAAGCAGTACGACAGCGAACTGTGCAAATATTCCACAAAGCTTTCTTTCCTGACAATTCCGACGAGATTATAGAAGTGGATTCGACAACGAAAGCTCGGGACTTCTGTCATCGAATTGCAACACGTCTGGGACTCAACTCCGTGGATGGATTTGCTCTGTTTGTGAAAGTCAATAGCAAAGGTGATGAAATGATTGGTACAATTTGCAAAGAGAACTTTGATTAATTATGCATTCTTCAGTGATCTCAGTACCGGATGATGAATTTTTCTTTGACTTCCTACGCCAGCTATTCGAGTGGTTGCGTCCCAAAAACGGAACAGTATTTCAGTTTTCGTACCAACTTTTCTTCATGAAAAAGCTATGGATTAACACAGTACCCGGAGAAGATCGTATTGCTGACCTGATTTTCCACTATCCTCAGGTTCCTATATCTTCTTGGATGATGTATGCCACAAATCCTCATATCTCATTTGCCATTACTCTGATACTTTTTTTTTTCAAGACAAATAATTGTTCTAAATAGTTCATCTATAGAACATTCAAAATCTGAAGAAAAAGGAGCAGAGGAGATAAATTAACGAAATAATCTCATCTGAGAGTTCATTCATTTTCATCCAAAATTGGTCTTAAATCGATACTTTTCTATATCCCTGCTTAAACTTACGAGTAAATAGCTAATTATGTTCAGGAATTACCAAAGTATTTACGTGGTTATCACTCAGTCACTCGACAGCAAGCAGTGGAATTAGCAGCTATAGTACTTCGCGCCCGAACTCGTGACGATAAAGCAGCACCGTTGTCGCAGTTGGCGCAAATCATCTCTGATATTGTCCCGCGTGACATGATTAAGACATACAGTGGTACTGACTGGAAAAAGGTACACCGCCTTTTTGTATTAAAACAATTTTCAGTTCGAAAGATTGCAGATTAAACTCTCTTCGTGTAGTCTGCACTTTGCATTTGCCATTAGTCTCTAATATAAGAGAAATTGTGAATTATTTTCATCGCTTTGATCATTTACGACCGTTGTTGCTGCTGCTATTATTATTCTTTTTAGTCTAATTACTAGGATCAGTTCTTTTTCAAGTTCATAACCAATGCCTACGTTGAACGTTATGAAAACATGCCGTCAAGTGAAGCCAAAATACGTTTCTTGAAGACGATCGCTGAATGGCCTACCTTCAGTTCTACGTTCTTCGAGGTGTCTGTTTGAATTATGACCCATACATGGAAGTAGTAATTTCTTAAGATTCAGAAAAAATAGCCAAGATTGATTAGATGTTTCACCTCAGCTCTTGAAGCGGCGATTTGCACTTTTATCCATATAGCGTAATAGGATGAGATCCGGATTTAGTTTTTAAATGAAAGTCAGCATTTTGAAATGAGTGTGAAAATCGTTTAGGTAAAGCAATCATCGGATTCAGCAATTCCGGACAAATTGCTGGTAGCGATCAATAAGACAGGTGTTCATTTATACAACCCATTAACCAAACAACGCATCGTCCATTATCCATTCACAATATTAAGCAACTGGAATAGTGGCAATACATATTTCCATATGACTATCGGAAGTTTAATGAAGGGCGGTCGAGGTACTCGTCTGCTTCTGGAAACATCGTTGGTAAGTCTTCTTGATCCATCCAAACGACGAAGACCTTAAAACAAATTCCAGTGTCGTATGTCAGATTAACTTTAAGCGCGACTGAAAGTGGAGTGGTAGCGAAATTTTTTTTGAAATTGTGAAACTGTCAAGACATGGCAATATGTTTTCAGGGCTACAAAATGGATGACTTGCTAACCTCTTATATCAAGCTGTTCCTCAACAGCAATCGATCTTTTGCCGGAATGAGTGAAAGCGAAGTTCCGTGATTATTACGTTGCATAGTTTTATATGTGCCGATGATTGATACTGCTAATGAAGTAAATAATTGATTAGGACTGCTTTTTCACTTCTCAGTGAGTTTTTTCTGTTAAGAAAAATCTGAAAGGCACTGGGAAAGATTCTTTACATACTACACTGCTCTTCAGCGGAATATCCAGGGACGTGTACTGTAGGGGTCTTCCAGCCAGCTATTTTCTTTCTCTTCAATCTATTAATCAGTTATTGTGATATTTCACAACTCAGTGAATAGTTTTCTAACTTTATGAACTTAAACCACTATTATGCGATAGCTCCCGAGAGGGACTGAGTGAATAACTTCATGAGAGCTTAAAATGACTCAAAAGCAATTTCATTTTCAAGCATTATTTCTTCCAATCGTCTCCTTCTTTCTCTCTTTCTTCCTTATATTTCCCAAATCACGGTAGTTTTAATTTTGAATTAACTTTTTTGGTTCTTTATAAGGCAAACAAGAAGTAGAAAATGCCAGTCCAGCTCTTCACGATGTACTGTATTTCTCTAATTAAATCCACTTGAGGTAATTAAATTTTGCACCTGCAATTCTACTACAACTTATGTTGAATAAAAAAGACTAGATTATTAGTCTGACTTGAAATTAGCAAGTGAAGACAGATGACATATGTATTTGACATATGTATTTGGTCTGCAATACAGTAAAAATGTTCATGCAGCAAATTTTAAAAGTATAAATTATTTTTCATTAATTCACGCATAGATCTGGGTAAAAATGGATACTAGATTAAACTGCTAACATAGCAAGGCCGAAAAAAAGGAAGAAGTAATATTTATAAAGCTGAGGCAGAAATTGTAAATTGGTCTGATTGCATGACACAAGCAAGAACTTCATAAAATGCCAACTTTACATCACATATGCGATGAAACTTCAAGAAAGAAGCCAAGCTGGCTCAACATGTCCAATATTTGATTCCAATGCAGCAAGAAATCATGAAATTCGAAACATTACAAACAATTATGCCTGCTTTATTCATCAACAGTCACTATTCATTTCGACCACGTGAGCATTTCGAATCAAATTGGAGCAATGCTTTTTTGATACTTCTTGTTCGTATACTTTTGTTTCAAAAGAATGTCGAAACATGGACAACATCATTGGTTGGCTTCGGTGACACACGTTCCGTTCCTTAACATCCGAAAATAATTAATAAAGCAATTTCTAAAGATTATCTGCCATCGAAAACAGACAGCGGAAAGAAAAAAAAAAAGTAGCGGAAAGAGAAAAAGAACGATTTAGATGAAATGCATGCAACATGCATAATGAATAAAGGCAAGCACTTATAGCATGTTTTCATAAATGCTGTACTGTCTCTGTATTCTGTTCTTGTAGTGACCGACCTGAACCTGGAGTGGACAACTGAAATCTTCTGAAATACAAAGAGGCGGTGATTTTTTGAGGTCTGCAGAAACGGGCAAAAAAAGGAAATCTCGCTTTCAGGGAACTTTTGCAACTAATCATGTGGGATGACCATACAGATGACCATTTTGATCACATTCCATTTTAAAATGCCCTTAATTTGAAAGTGATCAACTAACTATTAGCATGCCTAATATTTTCGAAGTAACTGCTCTAATTTTCACACTCCAAAAATTTCCGTCCCTTCCGCAAAACCTACATTTGACCGTCTAATTAATGACATTACAGATTACTGACATTTTTCGGAGCTCGACAATATTTAAATTAGGATCTTCAAGTAAACGAAGAATACAGTCTGTCAATGCTAGCCATTAAACTATAGTTAAACATCTCTATCCAAAGGAATGTTTCCATTTCCGGATTCACAAGGAAAACAGCACTTTACTGGACAGACTAAAATGATGCGGCATTCTTCGCTTATTTTTAATAACAAAATCTTTTACCGATTACCATCGAAAGCAAATGTATGAGTCTGTGACATGCAGCTAAACGAGCTCTGATCTTTGAAGAATGAAGGATGCAGTGTATTGCACATGCTGCTCTAATAGGCAAATCCTGCCATCATCTGGCATTCCGCAATGCCGTTGAGGTTATCGGTAGACGAAACCAAATGTAGAAGTAGCGCTGCTATTCAGTCCACGTTCTATCTTGAGCTGCAAAATTTTGAAGTGCATCAATAAAGCATGCAAATAAGGTGGTTCCTTATTTATTTATGATCTTAACAATCCTTAAATGCTGTTTTAGCTAATTTTAAGCAATCATAAAAATGCTTCCTCTATACGAAACGTTTTACGTGAACTTTTAATTTATCTCTTTATGCGTAACTTCAGAAATTTGCAATAGGCTTGCATGCAGCGTAACCGCCTTCAAATCATTGCTTGCAGCATACATTCTAACTTTGCTTTAAATTGTTCCTTTCAGGATGCATCTTCATAAGAAGCGAGCTGAGAATGACAGAAGTGATATTAGTCTTTTAGAAAACTTTTCATATTATCTGCCTCGACATCTGACGACAAACCTACAATGAAATAAACGGGAAATATCATCGCATGACGTTATTTCAAAATCTGAGCCAACGCGCTGAAAGTCACCTTCTGATGGACGAGGATTTGAACAAAATCTGAAAAAGTAAATAGCAGTGGCTTTCACTGTAATATCATCACGCCTCAAATGAAGTTAAGAACACTTGCATCACTGATCATCAAACGGTCACTTTAACAACAAGCTACTTAAGGTCCATATTACCTCATTCGGGACCGATGACCATAAGGATCAGAGCATTGTGACCATTCAGACCATGATGTCCATCTTCCGTTAATTGGTGTTCCAATGCAGGCTGTTCTTGATATACAAGATCGCTGATCGAATGATGAACCAATACAGTATGAACCTCTGGACTTAGCTGATACAAATTTTGATTGTAAGAATAATTGCATGAAACTGACTGGAAGGAGTAATCGAAATACAGAACTTGTTGGAAGGTACTGGATTAGAACACATTTTGCTCCGGATCTGATGACCAGCAATGCCACAACTGCTTGAACAAAAGCTCCAATCACTCTGGTTGGACCAATCGCCACTTTCGGACACTAAAGCTAAGGTAGAAGTAGAGGTGCTCTGATGTCAAGTACTCTCTACCCTTTGATGCCATGTTTTAATTCGATGGAACACGTACGACATATAAACGGTGTACACGTCCTCTCTTCAAAATAGTACCCACGCAAAAACCTTGCAACGATGGTTTCACAATTCGGCAAAATCATCGTCTGAACTGATTCATTGAAAAACAGCTACAACGTGACCACTCGCTCCATTCAGGTTACTGCAAAGCAATTCGATTTTTCGTAATTCTTAAGAGTAAAAGTAACAATATCTGCTATGTGATGAACGTTGCAAAAAGAATTTGATGAAAATGTGTAAAGGAGAAATTTTCTACTAAAGAGCCGGTGCCGTTCGTTACGGTGAGCCAAGGAATTGTTGCTGGTCTTCTGATATTGTGTACTGTCACCGATCACCGCACTATTTATAATCAAATCTTTTTCTAACGAGCATTTGTCATTAACTGCATCAGAAAATGAAGAGCTTATAACTGGATAAAGCATTCATTCAGAACAGAAGAAGGAAAGATGCCTTGCACTTCCTGAATCTGGCTTGCAGACTTTCATCACAAGCAGTAGACCATGACCTGCACTTACTGTTGCCTTGTCTGTGTCAATGAACAAAATGCATGCGAAATTAACGAAACCAAAGCCTAACCAAATGTCAACAGCCTTCAGACAAACTCAAATTTGTAGAAAATGATACGAAGACTAAGTAGTAATTTTCCCCAATTTCAACATCAATGGACCGAACTTCTGCACTGCACTATCAGTGCTTCTACTTGTTCTTTCCACTTCTATCAATTCTGTTGTGAATGTATTGGATTGGATTGGTGTTGTGAATGGATTGAATTGGGTTGTTTTACTTGCACAATTGAGTCGAGTGCTTTATCTTGGGTAATTAAACCAAACAAGCAATCAGTAGTTTGACAATTTAGTGAGGAGGATGAGCTAAGCAACGGGGAGACTTCTGGAACAATCCTGTGGTTGAGTGGTCATTGCCCTTATATAGCATGATTTGAGGGTGGAGAGATAAAGCGATTGATACAATGGAAGCTAGGAGGAAGGCTATGGGATAGTTTTTGTAAACGGAATTAGATAACGAACAAAGGATTGGAAAGATGTGCATTAGATAATATGACAGATTAGCATGGGAATTTGTTAACACATTACCATCTATGAGTCATTAAAGAATTTGAATTACAATAAAACTTACAATAAATGATTAACATGATTTGCTTAAATATAAATACATTGATTTAAATTTGACCCTTTGCTAAATTCGATTGTTCGGTACAAAGATTATTTCTAGTGGAATTTCGAGCTTGTTCTCGACAAATTCATTTTGTTATGAGAGATTATTACTTCAAAGGACGCTTGCAAAGAATCGCGGAAAACGTCTAAGATTGTCTTTCTCGATAGCAAATCTCAAATTACATCTTTGCTCTCCAAAACTTCCCACGTATTCAATATCTTTAAAAACCTTGCATTCCCGTACTATCAGCAATCAGATGACTGAAATAATTCGTATATTTATTTTAAAGGGATCTTCTGAATACTTCCATACTTTAGAAATCTGGAAAAGTTGGGCTTTTAAAATAAATTTGATTATCAAAATAAGACAAAATTTACTGGAAAGAGCACTATAATTACCAAAGCCAAATTGTGAAGTTTTTGGGCATTATTTTAGAACCTATAACATAGGGTCTAAACATACCTTTTCTTGTCGTACTCACGACATTTTGAACTTTTTATTACTCTTTATTAGGACAATAAACAAATTTAATTACAATTTTACTTAAAGTGATTACTTCTCAATAGAATTACTTCAGTTCAAGAAAACTGAATCCTCTGCCATGATCCCAATCTCTTTTAGAAAAAGTAGCTTATCAAATAACTAGGATAATTCACCAGAAGTACCACAGGAATTGCCGTTGCATAGTTGAATATCTAAAATTGGTTCTCCTTTTGTGCAGTTAATACCACTTTGACAAATACCCTTCCTGAAAGAAAAGATTTAGGTAATATATGAAAACAGCTAAAGAAAACAATAGGGAAACAGTGAAAGAAGGGAAGAATCGGATCTATTAGGAATACAATTGTTCAGGAGCATCACAATCCATTTAAATTCACAATTCCGTAACCTTATGCGAGTACCTGCACCACAGGTACGCGAACAGGGTTGCCACTCTTGCCACTGCTCCCATATAGCCAGCACTTTTAATTCCGAATTAATTACTTGAACGATACGATCTGATGTATTAACTTTACGACGCGATTTCTTGTCACTCGTAAAGGTCGATATTTCACACGAAATATCACAAGTTTCTATTTCTTTCGCTCCCCCTAAAGCTACGAACGTCGTCATGTAGTAAGACAATAAAAAGTGACTTAAGTGATTGTAGCAGTCAATCAAGATGTCTTATCATCAAATTAGACTGTACCAGGACATTCGTGTCCTTCAGCATCAGCTTGTATGAGACCTATTCGGCAATGTCGTTCACGATGTCGTACTTCTTTACGCTCACACGTCAAACAATCACTCCAGTCACTCCACGAAGTCCATTCCGGACACGGACGTAAAACACAGCGTCGCTGATCAATTACTGAATCCAATTTTGGACAATTTCCTGCAAAGGATATCGCTTTACACCTACTCAACGGTAGGTTAACTCATGCAATAAGCAAAGACGAATTTCAGTGTATTCAGTTCAACAAAAGATTCTCTTCATTATATCAACACGGCGATACGGCAATCCACCAGACTATTAAAGTGATATCAAACAGAGAATCTAGCTATGGATGTCTTGATTTGAATGCTTCATCACCATTCATCACGTACGTATTCGATTCAAAACAACGAACCAGCAATACATTTCCGGACTCTGATTTGTATACCTTCACCACAGGAAGCAGAACAGGGCAGCCAATCAGACCAATCACTCCACAGTTGCAACAGTGTTCCACCATTACTACAGTCCTAGAATTTTGCAAAGTATTGAAATTTGCTGAACTAATTAAGTAAAATGGCGAAGCTTTGGTATAGTGAATTGACTTTCATTTCTACGATTAAGATTCAATTAATTAGTCATAGCGTCAAAAATTCGCTGTGCGACCAATTAAGTAAACCAACTTTCTCATTACAAGTCCTAGCCTGCTTTTGCCCACTAGCACAGAGCGATCCATCACACAAACGCTCGCGTAACTGGAAACCCAGTCCGCATGATGCCGAGCAAGGCAACCAGTCACCCCATATTTCCAGCAGACATTTCTAAAACACGTTCGTTACTGAATTGAAGACTTAGGGATTGGACGAAGGGAAGTACTGTAGATAAAAGAGAACTGTAAAGAAAGACATGTCTAGCATCCACATTACGTGCTTCTTTATGATGTGTATAAAGTGAGAATGTGTTCAGTTAACTCTAATTGCAGTCAGGACGCGTGAAGAATGAGTGCAAAGAAGAATTGCCATAATGTGTCACAACAACTATTCCAACCTTAGTTTCACACGGCTCAATTTGGATACCTTCGCCTTCACATCCATTCATCTGACTACACTGGCGCTTCCTGCTCCTTTGTCCGCTACCACAGGTCGTGCTACATGCCGACCATAATTCCCACTCGTGCCAAGCGACACAGCTAACCTGAAACTGTTGCGCTTGAGCTAAAGTATATAGTAGGTGACATACTGACAGGGAATGTCACCTTGCTGCACTGGCGTCCTGGTTTAACAGCACTGGGACAGTTTTGCCCTTTCATGCAAATTTGCGTTCTGTCTTGCATCTTGTCGCCACAGCTCGTATTGCATCTTTTTTGCTTCTCGGACTCCCGACAGGACGATATTTTGGGAAAACATGATCGGGAATCCATTGATTCACCTATACATTTCTGCTGCAATTTTATTATTGCTTGCAATATTTGCACTATTCAAAAAACAAAGAAGTCAGATTCTCTTAGATAAACGAATCCTGATCAGGTTAGGTTGCTCTCTTCAACTCGTCCTTATATTCCTGTTTCTGAAGAATTTGAACTTGAAACAAAAGTGCTAACCGACTGACAGATTCGTTTCCGCTGTTGTTTCCCGCCAGAATCACAAAAAATTGAGCATTCGGACCACTCGCTCCATCCAGTCCAATCCTCACTGTCACTGCCGAGAATTGCAGGACAGTCTTTCCTGCTTTGCACTACAGCTTTGTTATTACACATCAGTGTCTGCAACTAAGTTCTGCAGTTACGGAGAGGATGCTTATTCGCATTAAAGAAGCTGTGCAGTCCAGAACAGAACAATTTCACTGACTCACCAGGCACTGTCCCCCAACGCAGAATTGTCCAGCTCCGCAAGGGGAGCCATCCGGGTACTGGCCTTTGTTTCGGATTAGTTCCGAATCAGTCAAGTGACACCAGACCTTGCACGGTTGTGTACTGTCTGCGAAATAAAGAATAGAAGAGTGCAAAAATGAAAAGAAGTGATTCGGATAAATCAATCTCTTCTTAAAAAGAAATTCAGGCAATATTTAGAGAATAACAAATTACAACAGTTTGAAACTGATATGAATAATGACTTAAATTTCCAAAAAAAAAAAAGAAAAAACTAACGAAAAAATGTAGCACCGGTAAGTTGCCGGTCCGGCTTTTCATGGTCGTTTTTTATTGCTGTACATACCTTAGTGCCATATTCTAACAGTGTCATCGCTTTGCAACTTGAGTTTACATCGCCACAAATTAGGCCACGCACATTAGAGCCTATACATTTTCTACCACCATTATTAGGCCTGAAAAATAATTTTAAAGCATATAAAAAAAAATTTATAATGATCTAATATTTCCATCTAATATTTGTGCACGATATAATCTAAAGCATTTATTGCTAAAGTCAAATATAACAACATAGTTCCAAATAAATACTGGAAACGTTGCAGGACAGAAATTTCAGATTATTAAAAGGTAAACAGTTGAGTAGCTGTAAAAAATTATATCTGGAAACTAACGAAGGTTTGGTGCACGTTCTCATCTGACTCTTAATTTGAATACTGCCCGTTATTTGGCACTGACTGATCGGACATCGTCTTTCCTTACCACTCCATTCAGTCCATCCACCATTCACTTTGGCTGGAGCTGTTCGTTGTGGCCACTGTTGACATTGTCCTTCAATGCAGAACTGCAATAGTCAACAATCTCTACTATATACATAAATATCATTGTTCAAAATTGATGGCTGATGTCCACTGGAGCTAACTTTTGCGTTCATCCATAGATATTGATGCGTAGGATTTCCTTCTACTCATTTACTGCATTTCAGTAAAATTGAAACATCAGCAATGGGAAATAATCACAGATCCCCACAAAAGTTCTCGCGCTTATTAATTCGGCGATCTTATCATTTTATTAATCACAGTTAAACAAAATAAATGCAATAGCCACCACCTTGCTACCGCCACACCAACTTCCCTCTAGCGCTGGATGAGCTGTTGATATCGTCGAACCATTATTTCCACACCATAATATGCGGCAAATGTCCTGAAATAACAGGAAATCAATTTAAAACGTTAAACTTTGGAGCCAGCAGTTCAGATAGCGTTATATTTCGGTTGTAGTGAGAATGAATGAAGGAATTCGCCTTCGTCCAAAGAGCACTGTAGCTTTCGGGAAAAACAAAAGCGGTTGTAGTGCTTCGATGGCTAGAAATTATTTTAACTATAAAAATGTATAAAAATCGAACATCCATTGTCTTTCCCCTGGGTATTTCGACTTCAAAGCCTCTGCCCCAAAAATAAGAACACTGTTGATCAGCCGTGAAGCGCTGTCCAGGTAAACGGCTATCCTTCATATGATTATAAATCAAGAGTCCTTCTGACCCATCACGCAGGCAGTTACCACGACCACTTTCACTGCAACCAAAACAATTTATTGCAGTTTACCAAGGATGCAGGAAACGAAGATCAAACTAAGATGACATTGACACACAAATGCAATACTGATGTTTCGAAAACGAAATTTATGAAATAACTGAAAAGTTAATGAATTCACACTTACTCTAATTGCAGTAAGAATGCATTGAATTCACGCACTGAACATTCACTCCAAGTAGTTTTGCCAGCTCCATTCACTGCTGACATTAGACAACAACTTCGGCCGCACTGATTCTGAATCCCATCGTGGACCATACCCATGCTGAAATGAAATGAGCATTTCTTTCCTTCAGAATCTTTGCTTTGAGATTCTGCCGATTCCTTCTACTTGAAATCCGAAACGCGTTAATGTCGAGAAATATCGTACATTATATCATGTATTTCCTAAAACTCAATTATTCCTCAATAACTTTAAACAAACTTATGCCCCATTTCATGAGCCAAGACAAATGATCGGCCAAGATGCATTCCTTCCACCAAACTGCATGCAAATATTTGATCGCACATTCGTGCAACAGGTGCAACGCCAGCAACCGAAGTCGTTGTATGATAGATGTCATATCTGTACATATTCAGAGCTAATTTCGGTAATCGAAATTATTATTTCTAATTTTCCATTCACAAGATTCAAAATTAAATAATCTGAGAGATGTACCAGCTTGCTGTGCCACTAGTACTTCTCATTATGCTCGGGAAGACCTATCTAGAGTCGCTCGTCGCTCGCTCAGTAAACAGACAACACAATCTTTTTTCTTTTTCTTTCCAACACAAAAAGTTTTAATAATAAATTCTTTTTTTTTTTACAATAACTTTTACAAAACCTTTAAAATTTTATTATCCGTGATTGACAAAAAGTGACATAAATATGTTTCATACGTTAAAATCATTCACTTTCAGTGATCTTTTGCTGTTAAGACAACACGAAAGAAACAGTGTCGAACGCAGCTTATCGAAAAATATATACTAAAACGGCAGACGTCAGGATATAAGCAGATGAGATCCATCTATTCGAATATATGAGGGCTCCATGTAGCTGATTAAATGAAGGGGGTAATAGTGAATGTTGATCGTTTTTTGCTGTTTAAAGTGATAAGAAAAATATTCCATAAAGTCACATCACCCCATATACTCTTCAAAACGTCAAGGCACAAGCAAATAAGATATTCATCTTCCTCAAACATATATGAGAGTTTGCATGAGCTCCCAAATATATGATAGTTCCATGCAAAGAGAATAATTGTTGAAGAGTAGAAAGATATAAAGTTGTTAAAAAAAGTAATTCTGAAGTATTTGTAGGAAAAAAGATCAATTAGGTGAGGAATGTTGCCTTTTCTAAATAAATGTTTTGGTCATAACAATTTTCATTAATATTTTTTTCTTACCTATTACTGATATAATTTGATTACTATATTACATTTATAAAGATTGCAGCTTATTCGACTAAATTTATTAGTAAACTTAACAAGTTTCATAAAGTTAAAAAGCAGAGAAAATGAAAAAAAAAAAAAAAAAAAAGAACGAAAAGACAAACCCAGTAAGGAGAATGCCGTGATCCCAGTGCTCTGGATCAGTCAGATCAGTTCCCGGATTAAGGGTAGCTTGATGGCGACAAAACAGATTCAGTAATGTCTGTGCTTGTCCATTCCGATGTGCTAACGTATCAAGCCCTGTCTAGAATGCAGCATATTTGAACGATTAAATTGCTTATTTAAATCAAAAATCAACTTAATAATTTTTGTATTCTATTTTTTTGTATTTTTTTCCATGTGTAGTTATAATTCTGTGAAAAAGACTCATTAGATTGTATAAGTATCACGGAAAAGTTTTATTTCCTTACTAATTTGAACTAGTTTGTAGTTTGTAGCAACATTACAGCATACTTTAATAACTTTAGCAAGTTTAAAAGGCCACTTAAAGACAATTTCTTGATCTTACGACTTCAAATTTTTTTAATTTCAAGTGAAAATAAACGCTACCGGTTGTTTTTTCCACAATTCAAATCGTACGATGACAATATCCAAGTTTGGAGTCATCGATGACTGTTGGTAAAGAACATGAACATTATTGATCAAAGCAAGAGAGAAATCCACCAAATGTTGTTCGGGATCATCAATGAATTCACGTTGAAAATGCTCATAAAGCTTGGAATCCAGAAAAAGTCCAATTTCTAAGGTTACTGGATCCAATTGTGGGAAGATGAAGAGGGAATCGAGATTACCTTCTACAGGTATTGTATAGTTGAATGTTGGTCCTTCGGCTGTAAGTTTCCATCAACTGTTTCACTTTTCAACAAAAACTCGAAATTCGGACTTAAAAATATGAAAGAAAAGAAACACCCAGTCCAGCAGCAGTGCAAATGCTGTCATGCAAAAGCAATTATTCATTTCTTGTCGATACACTTCCATTGGCACTAAGCCGAATCTTCTCTTCCACCCCCGACTATCAACAACATTCATGCAGTTTAACTTCAGCGCTTAAAATTGTACTTATCAAGTATTTTTCGGCTGGCTTTTGTTGACAAATTTTCTGTTAGGAAGAAAAAGTACAGGAAATCTTTCCCACCATCGATTCTGAGCTAATTTCTCGACTTTAACCAAATTAGGAAGTAATGAATTCTGACAAAATGCGTGTTCGTACATCGCCGCCTTATCATATATCCGTTCAGAATGCGGAAAGATGATCCTCACGAGCGTTAGAAGCGCGGCAATCAGATAAGGTCTGTTTACTAAGAATTTTTAGTCTTATAAATTAAATCTAAATAGAAAAAATATAAATGCTTTAAAATCTCCCATCATCCAACGTAGCGCGTCTGTCGCACTTACTCAAAAGTAAATGGATAACTATTTTATGAGTCCACAGAGATTGATTTACTTAGATGGGTGGATGCTGATTCTGTTGAGATCGATAATATTTAGAATAATTAAAGAAGAGAAGAACAAAATGACCAGCAGTAGGAGGATGTATGCATGCATGCATGTGGTCATATTTGGTGGACTGATTTTATTCCAACGACTGATATCAGAGCAGGAATGCCCTCAACTTTGGATTGGAAGCATTTAGCGTGAAGCTTACAAGCGGATCTGCAATAGCTGTGCCTGCAGCAGCAGTAGCCTTATTGCACATGCCAATTGCATCATCAACCGACTTACTAACGTCACAAAATTCCTTCTCGTTCGACTCATCATTGAGCTTTGGTAACTGTCCTTCTGGCGCATCATCCAAGTTAGAAGACGGGTCCACTTCACGTTTATATATGATATGATGTTGCTTGACCTGAAATGACTCATTTAAGCCTGCTTGTTCACCTAATACTTATTCGTATCGTCATACGACCGCATACCTGGTGTAGATGTCTGAGACGTTGAGGAACTGTTTGTAATAAGAGAAAATGATTGTCCATCACAATGGTACCAGTCAAATAGTCGCAATAGGATATGGCGGCTGAAACGTTATCGTGTGATAATACTTTTCCATGGAAGTGACAATCTGCTTTCAGATGTGTCGGTAATCCCTGACTTCTGGAACTTCTGCTGCCGTCACGCACCACCGAGATCTAAATTCGTCCTCGATAAAGCCATGTGCTCAGTCCTTTTCTTGTTTACAAAAACTTTCATTACACCAACAATGACATCAAAGTTGACTAATCCAGAATTGCGTGATTTATAAAATACATGCATTATAAATCACGCAATTCACAGCAAAATTTATTGTTGTCCCGAGGCAATAAAATACAGAAATTCCACTTATTTTTGATTAATCCTTCAACAACAGCGAAAGAGCAAAATAAAAGGTTTATTGACGAAGACTTAAAGTAGAACACATTCTTGACTCGTGTCTTTGAATATCATTAATAACGGATAATACATTAACCATTCTGTTCATTTCAATCGGTTGAAAAACCAATCATTTTTTGCAATTCATAAAGAACTATTTGACAAAGAAGTAACTTCGCATTTTTTTTTCTTGCAGAACAATCAGTTCTGACTCTTATTCTGTAATGAAAACAACGGAAATGAAGATGAAAGAGGGCAATCAAGCTAACAAGCGTTACGTGTCGTAGCAGTTACATTTTAAGGTAATTTACCAAATGAGGACTGAGTAGTTTGAGGTTACGCTTGAGATCGACGTGAAATTTCTGATCCCAAGCATTGAATAATAAATGCACGGTACCATCACTGAATTCCTTCCTGCTAACATCGATCAGCGCGTATTCTGGCACGTCGTTGTGATTAGATACGGCGAAAATTTGTTGCAGTTCTCGTTTCGTTAAGCGATGATGAAAATTCTGCAAATGGGAAAATTTCACGCGCTTTTGATGAATGAAACTGAAAACAGTGCTCATTACACCTTTTTACTCTAGTTTTAATGAGTAGATTCAAGAGCTAATTCATTCAAATTTGTCTCCGTTCGATCACCAATATTACTAGAAATGATGTATTAAATTAAAAATTATGCTTCTGAGTGATGCAACTCGATGATTTATTCTATTTTCGCTTTGTAAAGCAAAAAACATCTTTATATTATCCGCTTCTTACTTTCCAAAAGACTTTGGGTCATTCCTGAAGGCTCGATGAACAATGAAAGATGTCCAATGAATGAAATGGAATCCGAGAACAGATACAACCGAGATCTTTCCGAGCTTTAAATAATTAACAGTATACTTTTTGACATCTATTCGGATTTTTTTCAACCCCATCCTCTCGCAGGACTCCATTCATAAGCAATCGTTAAAGCTCTCATTTCTCAAATTCTTCCATTTGTTTTCAAGATTTATTGTCAAACATATAATTCTTCTGTTACGACTACAGAAAATGGATGAGGAAAGTAAGCAGCAAGCAGTTTGCAAAACGTTTGAGCATAGCATTATGCTTACCTGAACAAAAGTGATGAGTGGAGAAAAAAATAGAAAAATGCCGATGCTACTGCATATGAAGTCGTTCATCCGTAAATGATCACTGTGTCACTTCAAAATGTCGATCAGTCGTCGTAAAGCTGATTTTAAATCATAGATTACAGGTCTTCAGGACCAAACCGTAGATAAAAAACTGACTAGACAGCAGCAAGCGCCGATACTGGCACGTCCCTAACTGAAGATTGTGTGTGACTGTAGTCGTAGCAAATACATCCACCATTGGCTATTTCAGTTCAAATAACAAAGACTGGTTCCATCACTAGCATAAGTACGAGCAAGGGGAATACATTTGCATGATTCAGAAGGACAGGTGATTTAGAAGAGCTGCTGTGCTGTGATAGTTATCGCTTCGATAATCTCGTCACCAACATCGTCGTCGTCACCATTATCGTCACAGTCGTCATCGTCGTTACGAGCGCTCTTGTTATAATCTGACAACTTTGGATCACTTCAATTCAGGAGTTATGTAGAAGATCACACCTATCGCTGTCACTCGTAGGGTGGAGACAATTGCTCATTCAATTTCACTTTTCGTTTTTATATACTTTTCAAACACTTCTCTTCTAGTAACAGATATCTCCTACTACTTTTCTTTTCTGATGCAGAACGGAGAGACGGGAAAGGCAATGATGCACGAAGGGAATGTGGAAGTACGAATTCGCGCCTACTTTCCGTAAGGATGACTGATTGGGTCTTGCTGTCGCTTTGTAATCTTTGAACAAATATATATTAAAAGAAGAGGATGGATTTATCTATTCAATTCGCTTGCAAAGAGGCTGTACAGTCACGACATCAGCGGATAGTTTCCAAACAGAACCAATATTAGTAGCGCGTTGCTCATGCTATTTCGTGTCTTTATAAAACTCTTTATTGACTTCATTTTTAATTTTCATTAAAATAATATCTCTTTCTAAGCCTGCTGAATTCAATTATTCTTTCTTCCTATCGTAGTTTTAAAATCAAGTTTTCTGCGTTAGACCGGATATTTAAACAATGTGTCTTTTAAAAATACAGGTTTTCGCTCTTTCGTTGAATGACCTTGATTTGAAGGCATTTGAAATAGAGTGCTTTCCTCGTTGCTCCGCTTTTGTCGAAATTTGGAAAATAGGATGGAGAAATGGGTCCAGTAATAAGGAAATATATTCAGCCTCTGAACTAACCAGCAGAAGCAAAGATATTTCTACCGGTATTTCAGGTGTCGTGAGAGGTCAAGTTTGCTTAACTAAGACAGGTTTGTCTCTTGGCCCATGTCACACTCAACAGCGCAACTGCATGCAAATTCAGCGCTGTGATGACGTAAGAAAGGTTAAATGCATCAGCAGTTTCTCTATCCTCAGGTTGCTGTTTTCATTTCTGGGTTCACGTGCTGCTGTCGCTACCACACTCTACCAAAAATACCGCATTTTTGAGGTGAAGGACCCAAATTCGGAAGGGATCAATCTTATTCCTTGAAAAGGGAATAAAAATGACTACAGCTGTGTTGCTGTAATGAGTTGAAAGAGAAAGCAGAAAGCAAGGATCAAACGATTCCTCTCACCAGGAAGTTTTAGTTCATTGTTTCTTAGAAGATGGACAAACTAACAAAGGAAACTGACGAAACATTCAGAAAAAGGAATGACAAGAGTGAGTCTGGAACTATTTGATTCATACAAGGTCAATTTCAGAAATCAGTTAAGATTTGAAAACCTAACTCATTCTGTTAATAATAGTAATAAATTGAGGAGTGTACGAAAATCTTGAATTTTTCATTAATTTTGTCATAGCAAAAAAGAATTTCGCTCAAAAAGAGACAATTTGAAATTCTTCGATTTCCTTCTACAAACTTTCTTATTCGAGAACTTTTCGGAGGTTGGCTGCAAAGTCATAGATTAAAAATGCTCTCAGAAAGAGCTCAGCACTGCTTTGAAGTGTTACTAGCAGGTCCAATGAAGTCGTAAAAGATTAGATGACGAATAAAAAGAGGAACTAATTGTAAAGTTGAGAGGAAGACTATTTTTTTGCTTTCCTTAGAGCACTTCCTTGTAGAGACGGTACGAACTCACCTTCTTGTGAAATTTCCGTTTTTAATGTCTCAGTGATGTTTTAAAAACTCAAAACTAGTTATAATGAACATCTTGGCTCACACAAAAGGACTTATAGGTCTTTGGTTCAGATAGATAATTAATAAGTAAAAGAAAAGTTTATGGGATTTGATTCTTATTTCAGAAGACATCGAAACTGAAATACGCTCATTGGTAAGGTCAAAAGTCCTTAACTATCAAGTTTCAATAATGCTTTACACTTTGAAGCAGCAAAAGCATTTTGAAAAAAGCTCATGAAATTCCCTCTATTCCTTCTTCACTGCTAAACTTGCTACTGTTTGTCCAACTTTCAAACCTCAACCTAATTTTCATTCGAGCTACATAATGCCATGACTTTCCTATTGCATGAACCGACTGTACAAAAAATTTGGTGCGCCACTGTGAGAAAAAGGAGTTTAGGTTGAAGAGCGTAAACTGTTTTGCAGGGAGTAGCATACATTACCCCGCAGCGATTCCTTTTTCTGGTAACCAACTAATTGGTATTCCCCTCAAGGCTTGAAATATTGGATCATTAATCAGTTATTTTGACTAAACTTTAGTAATTTGATTTACTTCAGTTATTTCGCCAATCTGGCATGTGGACAAAAGCACAAAAGACCAACTAATATGGGACAGTATAAATGAGCATGAAAATATTGAGAAAAAGTCTAAAAATTACTGAATGAATTTTTAAACTGACGTGTGAACAAATTGACTTTTCGAGGATAAAAACAACAAACAAGAGCACTTTTGAAACAGGATTGAAATTGATGCTTGATTCCTTGTTATACTACTGGAGATATCTCCAAAATAGAAATGAACGGATACGCATGAAGTCTTCGCACAGAACGTTTTGTTTTAACTTTCTAGTCACATCTAAAACGGATTCATAAAATCTTCGTCTCTCTCATTCGCAAATATTCCTATTAAACACGTGTTTCGAAATTTGACGGAAAAACGTGCTTTTTATGCCGACTGGGATAACGTCATCTATTCAGCAGAAGTCCGATTTAAACGGAAAGAGACTATCTTCTATGAGAGATTAAGTGTGCAGTTTTTGAAAAGCTGGAATAGAACGAAATGAGAAGCTGTTCATAGATTTCCAGATTGCATGTTGTTACTTCTCACTGCATATTAACTTGCAAAAGTAACTTGACACATAAATGCAGATGACGTATTTATTTATTGCTAACAGGAATTCAATAGCAAATTCTCCGACATTTACATCATGAAGTGTTTGGAAAGAAAGGAAAAAAGGCAAGACAGAGAGAGAAAGAGAGAAAGCAAAAGCAGGACGAAAATGCATCCCGGTTTAGTAAAATGTTATGAATTTATTTTAGTTGCTTCATTCTATCGTATTATAAAAATGATTTTAAACCATCCTTTGTACAATCTAAAACAATATTCACTTTTTAAATTTTGAACTTTTATTAAAGTATAATGGATTTTACTGTGACTAATCCGCCAAAAATACTTGTTACCTCCAACCTAGGCCATTCAAAGTCTGTTCAGCATCCTCAACTGTGCAACTGAAATTGTCGTTAAGATTTTAATATTTCTTTAAAGCTGAAGTTAATTTCCAAAAGAGAACTAAACATTCAGGAATATATTGCTAAAATGGGAATAAAACGTGGTATTCAACGGGCACTCAGAAGAATGAGTAATAATCGTCTTGTGCTATTGTAAGGTAGACAAATTCAAATAATGTCCGGCAGAAGAGGTTCATTACATTCCGCATTTCATCGATAAGAGAGCAGAAACGGTAAATAGGTCGATGACAATGGTAAGCCACCTCCTGGCACCGATGGATTAGCCAGTCAAACCGTCCTCCAAGCTTCCCTGACTGCGACGATTAGTATCTATGACATAACATTTACCAATCCAAATGCGATGCAAGTCTTCTCGCCAACTCCAATAAATAAAGCTCGTATTTAAAATTGCAAAAAAAAAAAAATGAGCTTTTTCAGATATTTTCTCGTATTTTGTCATCGTTTAGCAATTGCCGCCTCTATGGGATAACAACTTGTCTTTTTTCTTTAACAAATGTTCATATAAATATCTTGAAACATTTTCAGGACACAGATCAGTATTTCTGGAAGAAGTAATTGTTCAGTTGTAAGCCAGTCCTTAGCTTCGAGCCTTGAGAATGAGACAACCACATTCGCCTATAGATATTGAACAAAACTAAAAGTGAGAACTGTGATAAAGGACGTACGTCGCGTAGCTTCTTCATCTCATTTCAACTGTACTTCTTTTCACAAAGATACCTATGTATTTTTAAAGAGTTACCATCACTTTGTCACAAATTAGCAGCCTAGCGACATGCTGAAGTATAACACGGAAAGGTCCAAGACGAAAAGACAAACAGCTGCACATGGACCGTATTAACTTTCTACTGCCCCAGTTATATAATAAAGAAGTGATATTGGACTTGCATTTGCAAACATGAAATGCAATAGAGGAAAGTTTCATACATAAAGACAAAGCCTCTCAAAAGTAAAGAATAGAAAGAGATTGATGTAATGCTTTTTGCATCAACTTCACTTCGTCCGATAAAGCGTTTTTTCTTCAAATATGAAATTCTCCAGCGCTTTGGAATTTTTTAGCCTTTCGCTTGGACAAAATCGACAGCAGGCATCATTTGGGAAACATAGCAAAGTTGCATGCTGCACTTTTGTTGTGACTTGCATCCAATGTGAGAAATTCTTTTTTCCGCGTGCATTATTCCATTTTCATTAGTGGTAGTGTGAAGCTTCCAATGTTCGAATTTATAAGTTCAAAAAAATTACCACTCTTCTGCATTACCAAAGATAAATACTGATACCGTGCCAATTCATCCGAAATTAGGCAGCCATTTTAAATAATTGGAAAACTGGACACAAATAGGTCATCATGCTAAGCACGAATTATTACTACTAGACTATAATTGAATGCGCTTCACGGTTGTCCTATTTGATGAAAATTGAAATT